CTCACATTCCTTAGCTATGGTTGCCAATTGAGATATACATAATTTTTCTTTCTCCTCTGCCTTCTTTTTCAAGATTATTTCTGTCATAATGTTTTGCAAATATTCATCATAAAGAAGTTTTAGCTCTATATCATCTGAATCTGAGTCAAGTATTCCATCCAATGATGTTTGTGTAGAAAGCATTGGTATATGATTCTTTGTATTTCTGTTCTTCGTGAAACCTAAATTATTAAACGATTTAATATTGTAATTCTTAGAGCTTTATGTTAGTAAGAAACAGAAAGAGATGCTTTACTTTGTGGTAAAGTAAAGTCAGATGCTGCCATTGTTTGTCTGTGGTGAGAACTGCTTGCATGAATATTTAATGTACTATCTGCTAAGTTCCGTTTTACTAATTCTGGCGTAGAAGCATTGCGAACACTAAAAATGTATAAAAGTCACTATATGAAAAACTGCGAAGCATTTCATTTTTTCTACCGTGTAGTTCGTCTTGATTTTGGTGTGTCCGAATGATCCTTCTGCATCTTCTATTAATAATTCTCTGTGTTCAGTTAACTTAAAACTTTCAATCGATAGAACGTATGTTATGACAGTACCAATAATACCTTGTATATATGAAATTTCAAAAAACTACAAAAAGTGACATTCAACTATAGAAAACACAAGGTTGTGTGGAATTGTCAGTTTGAAACTATTCGAATTATTTTCTGACGTTAGTGTCGCCCTCTGTCAATACTAACACTCAATATTTTATCGATGGAATTTACATCAAGAGAAAACGGTAGCATAAATTTGTACAGATTTTTAATCAACCTTTAAAATATTTTCTGTACCTCGTCTATGGATATGAACTGCTATCAAGAAATATAATGCCGTAATTTATACTGATGTTTCCAGCTGAAATGGTTACCTAGGAAGCTATCAGATGGCGTATTAGGTGCTTTCTAATTTCGGTGTATGCAGAGTGGGGCGTAATTCATGGTACAATGCAACCGAAATTTGAAAAGTAGTTTCTTTTTATTTAAAATGCCTTTTCTAATGTAATACAATTGTAAATTATCTTACGAATACATAGTTTCAGTATTAGTATATCAAAAAATGCAGAATTTTTTTTCTATATTGCCCTGAGGTATGAACTGTATTGTTTCTTCAAGGCTTTTCCGTATTTGATTAAGCGTAATCAAGTTATTTTATACTTTTTCATTTCTTTTTTATAACTACCTTCTTTTTTTGTATATTACTCGATTATATTACTATTTCAGACGAAAAAAATTTCTTTTGTAATTGATACATAGTTCACTTAACAATAAACAGTATATTTAATATTTTGTATAACATATGTTACGCTAATAAAGTGAATGTTCCGTTTTTCAATCATTTTTTTGTCGTGTCAAAAAATTTCATCACCGTTAGAAATATTATCGAGCTCGCCATGCATAATTATTTTTAATTAAAACATTATTGAACTTTTTAAGTAACATTTATACCGTCGAATATTAAATGAAACCTAACCTAAAAACTACGTGATCTTTCTCCTCACCTACAAATATATGTACATGTAATGAATTCCATACCGAAAGAATTTAATTACACAAAGACAGAAATAAAATAAATCCTGAAGAAAATCCTCTTATCTTTCTTCCATTCCGCTTACTGTTTCGATATCGTTCCCGAGACTTTCCGGGAGGGATGGTTCTTGTACTTACCCTTGGATTACCTTTTCCTTCATGTACAACGGTAATTACGCGATCTCTCACGAATCGATACTATGTTGAACAAGCGGTACATAATCCTTGCATACATACAGTGTGTTTCGTTCAACTGGAAACGCAGAAATACCTCGTAGAGCGTTGAAGATGTGAAAATATTGTTACGAAAATTGTTTGGTATGAAGGGGAACGTTGTGTGGTATAAATAATTTTTTCTGTATATGAAATTATAGGGGAGATTTCAAGGTTAACTTAAATTTTTTTAGATATAACACTATACATCTTTACTCGTAATGCGATAGCGTTTTTTAAGACGAGTTCAACGGTGTCCCACATATCAAAGAACTCTCATAATAATAATTTCTTTATATCGTCAACGATCTACGAGATATTCCGGCGTTTGCAGTTAAACGAAACACACTGTGTGTATTTCCTTCTGGTGCGCTCGCTTGTGATATGCATTTCCTAACAAACGTCATCTGAAGCCATAATTCCTTCGTAGTGGACAGTTAACACGCACTCAGCCAATGATTTTTCTCTCTAACAGTCGATGATCTTATTGGTCACCAGGCAGGCAGGCCTCCGGTACGTGATATTGTGGCAATCTTATTTGAATTGTTAATACGTGGAGAAAAAATCGCGACACGCCAATGGGTGTGCACGATTCACGTGATCGTGAGCCGATAATTACCGAAGGTACGATCTCCACCTGTTCCTTTGCATATATTAATTTTTTCCTACCCTATTATTGCGATTTTATATTAAACAAATAGGAAAATATCCTGGAATTCTAACAACCGTTTAATGGATCGTGAATCTGGCACGATTGTATCGTAAATGGTAGCAAATTTTTGAACTACATACATACATACTTACCTATATATTATCTTGATATAATGCGATTCCAGGTGTAGTAAATGTGCATAATGATGTTATTCGTCCTTGATACATATGTAGTTAATTTTTCTTCGGACGCAAAAAAGCGTGATAATTTCAGAATGTTGCTAACTGATTATATACTACAGCAATACAATCACCGATGAATATTTTATTTTACAATAAATACATTTTTATTCTTTTACAAGGAATTTAACGTTTTTCGTATGTCAACACCAAACAAAGATTTATGCATACCTGCATTGTCCACTTCGGAACAGACTAACTCACGTAACGCATAAGTGCTCGAAAAGTGGGTTGGCCACGTGACCAGAAAGTAATTCGAGATCTTGGAAAAAGGGATGAGAAAGAATGAACAAAATTTTATAAGAGAGATGCCAGAGACGTTAAGCCCTGTCGTCTTGTGGCTCGATAAATATCACCGTGAAACGTTTTAGGTTATGGGAAAATAAATGGAGATAAACGAGATAGAAATTCTTGTTTCAACAATTTTTCATTCTTCGTCACAAGTTTACCGTTTATCGTACAACATTAATGGCACCTGTTGTCGATTCCATATTACCTGATCAAATACAACCTTGCCTCCTTATTAAAGTGGAATTGTCATTGAACGAGAGGCACTTTCGTTGTTCTACACTGTGTCGCAGGAATATGTATCGTGAATACGTTCGTTGGTCACGCGTCTAAACGCAGAATGAAATCGAGGATAATAAATTACTAGCACGTGAGAGAACTTCACTGGGAAGAACGACGGGTTCATGATGGATATCGTTAAAACCATAACCCTGTTGTATGTGAGAGGGTTGAGAGAACAGTGGCACATAATGTAAGAGTGCTTAACAATTAACGATCGATACACATTATAACCTTTGTACGATGATTCATACAGTTAACAATTAACACGATGACTGTCACTACTCACAATACCGAATGAAATTAGTAGCACGATTGACATTGTTAGCTTTAATAGTAAAAAATCGAAGTTAAAATAATTATTTTCATGTACGTAGTTAGTAAGTGAAGCAATTTTCGGATGGTCATCGAAACGATCGATAAGAAAGAAAACACGTAAAAACGTGTTGAACGTGGCGAAATAAGTCCCACCTATTGGCATACTGGCGAACGAGATAAAAATCTAGCCTTGCATCGCAGGTGTGGTCTAGTATAGTATAATTTTTACGTCGGTTTCACGTCGCTGCAATATGAGTAATGACGACTTTATCGGTCGACTCCCGCTCATTACGAACAGTAATTCTAAAATCGCTCACAGTGCCGTTCAACTCCGAGAGCGTACAGTACGTAAAACGTTCTAATTCTCTACCCTGTTTTTTTTTTTTTTGCTTTTTCAACGATTTAACGAATTATGCTGATCACGATGCAAGTTGACAAAGTGGATGACTGGTTCGAGCGAGCGTGAGTGAGTTGCCAAGAACGATTAGAAGGAAATGGCCGTGGAAAAATGGTTTTTCTTTGAGTTTTCTAGCAATATCGTAAAGATTTGGAGGAACGAAGAGAACTTTGTGTCGTAATCATACTGCCCTTGTTCTATATCGTTTCTTTGAACAGTCCGTGTTCAACCTCGGGCAAAAGTGGAGGCCAAACACCGATAGAAGAGGGGGGAAAGCATTGTCTACAATGTTGAAACTACGAGCAACAGCTGTGTACGATGTACGAATAAAATAAACGTAGTAAACAAATCTAGTGTAACGGATGAAATAAGTGAAATAAGTGTCGATTAGAAATATGTGATAAAGCAATGTGTGCTTTAATACCGACGCAAGGACATTCAGCATGGCTTGTTGTGAGGTATCCAACAAGCATGGGACCCATCCGTGCATGGCGATCCTTGATATAATAATTAATAATTAATTAGGCTGTCTGTTTATCATAGGAATTTAGATATATAGATCCTCCCACGGGGGAGCGTATGGGGATAGTTGTAATATACGCTGTGAAACGCCGAGGCCGATGATTATGTAAACGGTGCGATAAAAACGACCATTCAGGATCGAGGAACGAGTATTTAGATAAGGACTGATCATTGAAACACGTAATAATAAATTAATAATAATAATGTACGATCTGTTTGATAAGCTGTATTTAATAAGATTTAGTTGCAGATTAAAATTATTGGAGTTACTTATGGAACAATTATTACCTTTCGATTTCTTTTTTTATGAATGCCATTCTTTACATTCGAAAGATATTCGATTCAATTATACCAACTATGTAGTCCCATTATTCACGAATGTTTCAGATCGTTTGAAATTGAAATTTGAGGCATGTGTAAGTACGTGTACAATCATTTAGAATAATATCATGCATACGAGAATAAAGTTTACGTTCCTTTGGTGCTGTCATATATACCATGCAATTAACTAGAAGATCCAATGATTTAGTTCCATCGATGTATGTACATACGTGACGGCAAGTGTTCCGTACCTTGAAACACGTGACGGAAGGCACGCAAATTAACTCGTGAGATATGATCTTAACTCATTATACCTGTACACTATTTCTCTGTGCTATTTGAATAGTTAAGTATCCGTTCGCGGTTAGCATAATTAATCGCTTCTTTTTAGATTCTTTACCCTTATGAACGGCTCGAACCACATTCTACGATTTCTATAATTTTTACCGTTTTGTTTCGCTGATTGCAATCATCGTGAACGGCTAGAACGATAGGCTAACAGATTATAAACGCGTGTACTGTGGAAGAAAATTAATCGTGAGTATTTCAACGTCGATGTTTCGCGTCGATTATCGTCATTTTTCTTATTGTTCTTTCCTATTAGCGTGCATGTCTATAGAGCGATTATGCAAGGATTCGAGCAATCGCGTGGCTTTGTTCCGTGTAACTCGAAAGCTCGCGGAATATCGTAATCAGATTAAGATGTTCAATGATTCATCGATGCCGGCTGATGGACTGCCTCGGACATTCTGCTTTCTCTTAATAACGAATCGCGTTCGTAAATAACACGCAGTTCGCGGGGAAAACGCTCGGCTATCGCGATAATTATACGGCGGGAAGAAATTTGTGTTGAATGAAATAGAAAAATATATGTATGTGCGGTATTAACTTTGAAATTTGAAAATTTGAAAATCCTAAAATTAGAGAATATAAAAATTGGAAATCCTAAAATTAGAGAATTGAAAAATTGGAAAATTGAATAATCCTAAAATTGGAAAATCCGAAAATTGGAAAATCTGAAAACTGGAAAATTCTATAATTGGAGAATCCTAAAATTAGAAAATTTTAAAATTGGAAAATCCGAAAATTAAACTTTGCAAAATGCAAACAGGTGGACAGGATAAATGTGCAGGATACATTATCCTTGTTGATAGTTCTGGCGCGGATGTAGGCGTGGAGTGTATAAGCCAAGGACTCTTTACTCTAGAAAGCCTGAATCTTCCACAGGTATTAGGTGCATCACGAACACCTTAAAATCAGTATAATCTCGTCGATTCCTCAAACGCTGCTTTAAATCCTTCATAATGACACTTCAATCTGTCGCAGGAACTTTATCTCATATCTTATCACTCAACCTATTTTCTGTGCACACTTATCGCAACTTTTCTTTATAATGCCTTAAAAATGAGACGCAAATTTGCATACTGACCGACATTCTGCAGATTTCGGATAAGAAAGGGAACGCTATTTCGCAATGTATGTGTAATATCGCGAGAAATTTAACGGCTATAACTGAAATATAATACAAATGTGTCAATGACAACTACAAATAAAGAAAATGTATTAAATACAGGTTTACACGGGCGGTTCTCTGTGTGTGTAATAGTAGCAATGAAGTTAAACGAGCCAAGACTTCGTACTTTACACGCATCTTTGCTCATTAATCAATTGCAAAATATCAATACAGCAATACGTACAATTCCGTCGATTTAATAAGCCACATTTTCAAAGAATTGCGCAACTTTTACGGCCGCTGAAAAAGTATGTCAAACTCTTTAAAATGAGTCCAACAAGGATTGTGTAACACGAATAAAACACGAAATAACCGGGGGATATCTGGATGTAATAAAAAAGTATCTTTATTTTGTCCTACAGAGATTCGAACAAAACACAAAAACACGGACGACGCATAAATCTCCATTTCGCGGCGTTCACCGATTTCCGAATAACACGACATAATCAACTCTTCATCCTCCTTAATTCCTTCCTTTTCCCAATTTTTCTCCCCCTTCGATATTCCTCCGTCGAATACGCCACCAGCGTTCAATTTCAACGGAAATGAAAATCCTGCTCGCTTTCCAGCACGTTAGACCGCGCTTCGAAAGCGAAGTTCGCCAACCTTTTCGATACCCGCCGTGATAAAGAAGTTTTTACACCACCGATTGTGTTAATTATCGCGCCACGTGCTAATTTCCCGTCAGTAGGCTAATACAACGCATTATCCGGCACCGAATCGTAAACACAAAGAGAAAATTCAACCGACGAAAATTTTCTGATGGGAGAGAAACTTGTTCGGTTACAACCTCGACCCCCGCTTCAACGAAACGAGAACTCTTTATTTCCGCGCGATTTTCCCGATGAAACAAGGGAAATCTCGTGATTTCCCTTATTATTGCGCATTCTGGATATAAATGATTCTACACTTCCCCCATTAAATACCGTATAGTAGGACCTCTTATAACGCAGGAAATATAATACAAATTAAATCCCACGGACATCGCTTTTCGGGCCAAATTTAATTAACCCAAAATTGCAAATTCGGAATTTGTATCCTTTTCTACCTGCAGTCCTACTGTACTATGATTTCCTTTCTTTATTCTTTTTCGTCGACGTACGACAATGTAATCGCGCTGTTTCAACAATATCCTTGAACGTAATTTATTAATCAAAGTAAATGCTAAGCCTGGCGTCGCGTAACGGCATGTACGGCAAAATTACCAGCATAAGCGACACTTGAGGCATTTAAATCACGAGGTGTGTTGATAAAGAATAGTTCGTTCAAACCAAGTATGCGATTTTTATGTTACCAAGTGTGTCGCATGGAACTTCGTTCAATCAAAAGGTACGGGTGATACTTCATACAGCCGAAGATCGTGTATTAAAACACCATTTAACGACAATGTTGCGATGGGAGTATTCCAGCAATTCCATCGAGACTGAAAAAAACAACAAGTGACTTTTTGCACTCGAAATTCCATTCATTTCTCTCCGCTCAAGTATCACGCGTCGCGTATTGCATAATCGCATGTATTAAAACACCATTTAACGACAATGTTGCGATGGGAGTATTCCAGCAATTCCATCGAGACTGAAAAAACAACAAGTGATTTTTTGCACTCGAAATTCCATTCATTTCTCTCCGCTCAAGTATCACGCGTCGCGTATTGCATAATCGCCGTGATTGTCGTTAATTAGAAACGGATTTTATGTCGTTAACGATCCTCCAATTGTTCATTCAGATTTGCCGAGAATTTTTTCGCGTTAACGCCTAATTATTACACAATTACGATTTTTATGGTAATTGCAATTTCGAAAATGGCGCGTTTCCTTGTAAATGTAAATTTCGTTCGATTCTTCGTTCTACACTCGACGACGAATCGTCGGTACGCGAAAATGTATTTCATAATATTTATCAATCCGACATTTCTCTCTTCCCTTACCTCTTTTCCCCCATTCTTATCGTGAATCTGTAACGACGTGTCATTCACGTCTTAGTCTATGTACGATTTTGGTAGTTTAGTTTGACGTAGCAGATAGCTTCTGACTATAATGATTGTAATTTATGGAGCAGCGTTTGTATTGGGTGCAATGGCGGCCTGCATCGGACCGCTTTGTTATCGGAAGAAATCGAGCGAAGTGCAGGGTCAGTATGCATGGCGATACTCGTCGAATTATAGTGTTTGAGTGCAATCAAATTAAGAATTACGAAGTAATAAAAATTATTAGGTGTTATTTAGAATTTTTATACAAAAGTTATTGAAATTATTAAAATTATTAAAATTATTAAAATTGAAAATTTCAAGTTATCTATCTAATTCTTTGGCTAAATTTGTTAGTGACTCAATTCAGTCACTTTCGATACCGCGTCATTTAGGTATGTTTTCGAAAAAGTAAGTCAACGTGAAAAGAATGTAGAAAGTATTAATTCGTTGGTTCGAGGAACGTGTAATTGGTTGGACGTGAAAAAAAAAAATGGTCGAATTTTTTAGATAAAAGCAAGTCGTTAGAGAGTGAATCGTCTCTGGTTTACATTAAGATATCGCAACCCCATCGAGACCAGTCCTCGAACGAAACTATCTCGAACACGCCGGATTGCAAACAGAATTCTACCGATTCGACGGGAGCTAAGGAAATGGAACAGGTTGCACGAGAAGCAGGACCGGTTTCTTCGGAAGAGGCGCGGATTGTTCCCGTAAAGCCACCCCGTAATCGAGTCAGGTATCGCTTTGCTCGTTAAGGGAATTTATTAATTTACAGCCAGTCACGTTTCGTTAACGATAAATCTTCTGACATTTGTTAACGAGGGGAGTAGTTTTGGCGGTGAGTGGAACGTGGATAAAGATCAATTCGGAGATATTACTTTCAACGACATTCTTACGACTTTGGCACCCATTGCGATTCTCACGAATTTTGCAATTTCAAGTTTTAGAAGATCTTAGAATTTCAGTATAAATATTACTATAGACAATGATATTTAAAAAAAAAGAGGGAAATTTCAAAGTATTATTTATTCAAAATAAGGTATAATAAAGAGTGCAATTTTTAATTTCACGATATTAACGCAAAATCACGACGAGAAACATTCTCAAAAACTGCCACGACAAACTGCACTTTTTTACACGGACAAGGAAAAATTTCGCAAAGTTCAAAATATAGGCCGAGTTTTTTTTTATCGAGTGCAGTTAAATGTTGCAGAGTGAAGAAGCGAATCTGGTCCTCCGCGCTAACAGGCCAGCTAGAGAATATCACGAATTCCTCTTCGGAGGTGGGTGGAACCACGAAAGTGGTACAGGCTCAGATCGAGGGGAATCCTGTAAATTGTGCATCGAGCCAGGCCTTCGAGCCTTTCCGTTGCGATTACGGCAATTCTTCGCGGAATGGTTCCAGTCAGAACCATCTCAAACCTGAAAAAGCCAGGAAACTGTCATCTGGATTCGGGAAGAAATGGAAGAACCTGAAGAAAGCGTTAATTAGCTCAAGGTTGTAACAATCATTTTCTCTTCGATCTGAACCTATGAAAAATACCATTCTCAAAATTTACCGTAAAAATGAAATTTTGTTTAACTGAAATTTACAGTTCCGAGCAACCAACGTTGTTCAAAGGCACAGAAACGGACAATACTGAAAGACTGAACGTTCCAGCGAGAACTTTGAAGCCATACTCACCTCTGCAGTATTCAGCCATGCTCCAAAAAAGTCGGCTCGTCGATGCATCGACCTCGACGAGGATAAGTGCGAACGCGAGAGCGCAAAATGACGAAACCGTCGCGAAACGCGGGAGCTTGCACAATAATGTCGAAACACATTCGACGCGAAATGATTCTCCTTACCCAAACACGGGAACCTTGCAAGAAGTCGCGTCGCTGATCAACGATCAATCCGTCGACGGGAAGTTGCTCTGTGACGTCAGTATTAGAGGTCTGGCGATGAACCAGGCACAATTTTTGGATCTGTTCGAAGCTAGCGAAGGCAGCACTCGGACAGCTTCCATCGTCACCACAGAGGAAGCTTCTATAATTTCCATCAAGTTCCATCGTCCGAGGAACACAAACGAAAACCTTCAAACGAGCGACACTTCTTTCTTCGAGTGTCCGTTGAAGAAATTGTACAAAAATCTGCCGGAAATATTCGAGATTTCGCCGATTTCTAAGCTGTTCAAATCGCAGGAGGTGTCGGAAAGGAGCAATCCTGTCGCTCCTTCTATCCACGTCTCCGATCACTCGAGATCGCTGAATAATTCGAGAAACGAGACCTCTTACATAGCGTTTCCTAACGTGACGAACAGATTCGTCGCTGACGAGTCGGTGTCCAGCAGGAAGAGAACCTTGTCTAAACGATTCGGTAACAGTCACACGACTAGATTCACCGAAGAACGCCGAATATGAGAGGTCCTACCGAAGATTTTTATAGAAAAATAAAAGAACGTCAGATGTTACGTTCGAAGGAGCAGGTTTTTTGTAATTCTGTGAACCAGAACAGGAATCCCTGCTAAGATTCTTGATACTGATTCATAGTTGCGGAATGATTTTTTATGTAACGCGTGAGTTTTCATTATCGCATCGATGGTAGTAAATCTTGACAATTTTCACACGATTTTAAAATAATTTTTTTCGAAAATTGTGACACAATTTTAAGATTATTCTTAAACAATTCTCTGTTCGTTTCTAATTCTAAGATACCCTGTCCGTTCCTCTAACCATATACATTCTTCGAATGAGAAATGTACTTGAAATTTATTAAACATGGTGTAACTTCTCGATCGTTTCTATCGATTTTTCTTTTCCTTCATTTTTCATACTCAGACTTGCTACATTTTTCAAAACATTCCGCGAATTATAACCAACCGTGTTCGATCCACGCAATCGCGATACACGATAATGATTCAGTTAAAAATCTTCTCTTTTTTCCCTCGATCTGTTTTATCACGAGCCTGTTTCTCAACGAAGGTTATGTAAACCAACTAGAAACGATCTTCAGGAATCACAGAGTGCCTTAATGAAACTTCATTTCCACCTTACCGCGGGATTCTGAAATTGTGTCGAAAAGACGCAAACGATCGTCGATTGCGCAATTGCACGCGTGCATCCTTTTTCATCTTTCTCCCCGTTGAATCATCTCGGGAGAGACATACAGCTAATTAATCGAGACGAGAACACGTTCCAGGTATTTCCATTGTTGGGTAACCGGTGGCGTTTTTACAATTGCGGTTTTGTCCTCCTTTGAGGACGAGAACTTGGTGTGGCTTTTAGAAATCCATTTCGTTATCTTGATCGACTCGACAGTGAAGCGTTTCTATTCAACGGTGTGCATTGACACGATCAGATACTTGAAAGAAAACGGACGATCGAATTCATCTTTCTGTCGGTGTAAACGCGATAATTAACGTGGCTTAACGAACGTTCGTTAATCGAGCCAATTTAATATGTATCGAACGAAAACGGAACAAAATGTATTTTCAACATTCTCGAACAGTTGATCGTTTTAATCTCTCGATCTACTGTTTTCAACGGTTCTCTATCACGATTAACCTTATCGATATTTAACGTTAGCTTGATTCACACACATACATTAGAACTACACACAGTTACGCAATGGATAATCGTCCCATAATAAAGTTTTATGCAAAACATCGATCGTGATGTTGTTTGCAAATAAAGTACATCCAGCAACGGAAGATTCTGTATCAAAGACATCGTGTGTGTTCATGTAGATCACGTTGCATAATTAAGCTCTGCCACGTTTGCTAATTAATTCGAATCATGTGGCCATGCGGAAGTTAGCTCTTTTTCTGCACGGTGATACTTTTACGATACAGACGTCACTTTTTTCGGTGATACATATCCAGCGTGACAAATCGTAACAAAGTCTCGTTAATTAATTAACCCGAGTGACAATCACCTGTGACGAGTCGACACCGGAAGGAACAGTTGGTGATTAAAAGAGGCGCGTCAGGGGCTCGATTATGCCTGTAAATCGAGAATGTTTCTCGAATGATCGGAGATGTTTTGTTTCTCTTTTTCTTACGTTAACAGCTACGAGAGACCGCGACGATCGGTCGTGTCACGTATTTTATGACTAACTCATTTAGCTCGTTACTTCCAGGAAGAGAACGCTTGATACCGGGACATCGAAGTTAAAGGACCTAGATCCGATCACGTAGACAGAAAGTGGCCATCGATGTTGAAGGGTGATTTGCAGTTTAATCAGTGCTACTTTTCTTCAAAATCGATATATTTTAAATGGACTGCAGCAAGGATTTGCTCACCTGTTCGACAAATTAATCGGTCTTTTCTGTTCGAGGTAATGACACAAGGTTTATACTTTAGGTACAGCAATATGCTATTGTGGGATATTTAGTTTTTTATTTTTACATCGTATTGCTGTATCCTTTATTAGACGACACAACTGACGAGAAATTATTCTTGAATAATTAAAAAGAAATTTATTTCTTAATAATTTAATTTAAATATTATTGAAAAAATTAGAAATTTTATTATT